ATAAACGGTTGGGACATCCCAGTTTGTCAAAACTTCAGAAAATGGTATCTGGTTTATCTCACTTGTCAGCTCTAGAGTGTGAGTCATGTCAGCTCGGTAAGCATACCCGCTCCCATTTCCCTCGGCGTCTTGATAATCGAGCAGAGTCACCTTTTACTTTAGTCCATTCAGATGTTTGGGGTCCTAGTCGGGTCAGTTCCACCTTAGGATTCCGCTACTTTGTCAGTTTCATTGATGATTATTCCAGGTGCACTTGGATATTTTTGATAAAAAATCGATCTGAGCTGTTTTCTATTTTCCAGACCTTCCACGCTGAAATTCAAAATCAATTTGGGGTTTCTATTCGCACATTTCGTAGTGATAATGCCCGAGAGTATTTGTCTTCCCCATTTCAGCAGTTTATGAAATCTCATGGGATTATTCATCAAACATCTTGTCCGTACACATCTCAACAAAATGGGGTAGCTGAAAGAAAGAATAGACATCTTATTGAAACTGCTCGTACCCTACTCATACAATCTCATGCTCCGTTGCGTTTTTGGGGGGATGCAGTTCTTACATCTTGCTATCTTATTAATCGTATGCCATCTTCAGCTATCCAGAACCAAGTTCCATTCTCTGTCATGTTTCCCCACTTACCTTTGTTCTCTCTTCCACCCCGTATCTTTGGAAGCACTTGTTTTGTCCATAACCTTACTCCAGGAACAGATAAGTTAGCTCCTCGTGCTCTTAAGTGCGTATTTCTGGGTTTCTCGAGAACACAAAAGGGGTATCGATGCTACTCTCCTGACCTCCAGCGGTACCTTATGTCCGCTGATGTTACCTTCTTTGAAACCCAATCATACTTCACAGGTTCAGGTCATCACTTAGATATTTCTGAGGTACTACCAGTTTCATCTTTTGGAGATTCAGTCACTCCAGCTCCACCACCTACAGCTCCAGTTGTAGCTCCACCACCTATAGCTCCAGTTGTAGCTCTACCACCTATAGCTCCAGTTCCACCACCTACAGCTCCGGTTGTAGCTCCACCACCTATAGCTCCAGTTCCTCCACATAATCCAGTTCAACCTTCTGCAGCTCCACCACTCTTGACTTATCATCGTCGTCCACATCCAGCATCAGGCCCAGGTGATTCACGCCCCGCATCAGATTCTGCACCTACTGCGGACTTGTCTCCTCTTAGTCAACCAATTGCACTCCGCAAAGGTGTACGATCCACACTTAATCCTAATCCCCACTATGTCGGTTTAAGTTATCATCGTCTGTCGTCACCACATTATGCTTTTATATCTTCTTTGTCCACTGTTTCTATCCCTAAGTCTACAGGTGAGGCACTATCTCATCCAGGATGGCGACATGCTATGATTGACGAGATGTCTGCTTTACATGCGAGTGACACTTGGGAGCTTGTTCCTCTTCCTGCAGGTAAGTCTACTGTTGGTTGTCGTTGGGTTTATGCAGTCAAAGTCGGCCCGGATGGCCAGGTTGATCGGCTTAAGGCTCGTCTTGTTGCAAAAGGATATACTCAGATTTTTGGGCTTGATTATAGTGATACTTTCTCTCCCGTGGCTAAAGTAGCATCTGTTCGTCTCTTTTTGTCCATGGCTGTTGTACGTCATTGGCCTCTTTATCAGTTAGACATTAAGAATGCTTTTCTCCACGGTGATCTTGAGGAAGAAGTTTATATGGAGCAACCACCTGGTTTTGTTGCTCAGGGGGAGTTTAATGGTTGTGTGTGCAGATTGCGCAAGTCACTATATGGTTTGAAACAGTCCCCTCGAGCTTGGTTTGGTAAGTTCAGCACAATTATTCAGGAGTTCGGCATGACTCGTAGTGAGGCTGATCACTCTGTGTTTTATCGGCATTCTGCTCCTAATCTGTGTATTTATCTAGTGGTTTATGTTGATGATATTGTTATTACTGGTAATGATCAGGATGGTATTACTAATCTGAAGCAACATCTCTTTCAGCACTTCCAGACTAAGGATCTGGGCAGATTGAAGTATTTTCTAGGTATTGAGGTCGCTCAGTCTAGCTCAGGTATTGTTATTTCACAGCGGAAGTATGCCTTAGACATTCTTGAGGAGACTGGAATGATGGGTTGCAGACCTATTGACTCTCCTATGGATCCGAATGCTAAGCTTCTGCCTGGACAGGGGGAGCCTCTTAGAGACCCTACGAGATATAGGAGGTTGGTTGGCAAATTGAATTACCTCACAGTGACTAGACCTGACATTTCTTTTCCGGTGAGTGTTGTAAGTCAGTTTATGGATTCTCCCTGTGATAGTCACTGGGATGCAGTTGTTCGCATTCTTCGGTATATAAAGTCAGCTCCAGGCAAAGGATTACTATTCGAGGATCGAGGCCACGAGCAGATTGTTGGGTACACAGATGCTGATTGGGCAGGATCACCTTTTGATAGACGTTCTACGTCTGGATATTGTGTTCTAGTAGGAGGTAATTTGGTCTCGTGGAAGAGCAAGAAACAGAATGTAGTTGCTCGATCTAGCGCCGAAGCCGAATATCGGGCCATGGCTATGGCGACGTGTGAGTTAGTTTGGGTCAAGCAGTTGCTCAAGGAGTTAAAGTTCGGAGAAATCAGCAAGATGGAACTAGTGTGTGATAACCAAGCTGCTCTTCATATTGCGTCAAATCCGGTGTTCCATGAGAGGACTAAACACATTGAGATCGACTGTCACTTTGTCAGAGAAAAAATACTTTCAGGAGATATTGTTACAAAGTTTGTAAAGTCGAATGATCAACTAGCAGATATTTTCACTAAGTCTCTTACTGGTTCTCGTATTAGTTACATGTGTAACAAGCTCGGTACATATGATGTGTATGCACCGGCTTGAGGGGGAGTGTATGTTTATAGATATGTATAGTGTAGTCTTGTCCCACATTGGAAGAGGAGTAATATCTCCTTATAGTGTATAGTTATAAATAGGGCCTCTTGTATTGTATTTATCATCCAATATCAATAACATATTTTCTCCCGTGCCTTCTCATAGGTACCTTGCCTACCACATATCTAGGACTACCATTGGGGGCCAAGTTCAAATCTAATGAAATCTTGAGTGGTATGCTGGAAAAGTTTAAGAAAAGGCTTGCAACATGGCAAATGCAATACCTCTCCATGGGCGGCAGATTAACCCTCATCAACAGTGTCCTAGATAGTCTCCCAACCTACCACATGTCATTGTTCCCGATACCAAGCTCAGTCCTAAAACAGATGGATAAACTTAGGAGAAAATTCTTATGGGAAAGATGCAACACCACACATAAGTTCCTACTCGTAAAATAGTCTAAAATAATTCGGCCAAGATATCAAGGAGGCTTGGGTGTTACAAATTTATATTTGCATAGCAAAGCAATGTTATTGAAGTGGTTGTGGAGATATGGGCAAAAGGAACCTGGACTATGGAAGAACATCATTGACGCTAAGCTAAGTTGCGCGGACTCTTCGATTTTGGTGCCGTCCCCGTCCGGATACGGATACAGGGACGTGATATGTCCCGAATACGGTCAACTGACTTCGGACACTTTGACCGGAGTCCATCGACAAATTTGGGAGAAAAATTGAGATTTGATTTCTCAAAATCAAAAATAAAATAGATTTAGAATAATGAAAGAATAATGTCCATCTTGGAAAATGAAAGATTGAATTGTACAATATTAATGTAAGTTTTTCACAGAATATCTCTCAAAATTTACAATATTTTTATAGCTGTATTTTTTATTAGCCGAATTCCCGCACCTGTATCCATATCCGGATCCGCATTCCCGAATCTTAAAATTTAGATTTTTCCGAATCCGATACTCGAATCCGTCCCCGTATCGGATACCCGCACCTGAGTCCGAGTAACTTAGACGCTAAGTATGGGCAACATAATCACTGGTGTACAAAGAAAATAAACACTCCTTATGGCGTTGGCCTATGGAAGAATCTCAGCAAGCACTGGGATGAATTCTTTCAAAATATAACCTTCAAGGTTAGGAAAGGAGATCATGTTAAATTCTAGAAAGACAAGTGGCATGGAGATAATGCACTGATGGATATATATCCCAATCTATACCAGATTGCACTCAACAAGGAATCCTCTGTTGCTCAGAACAAAGAAAATGGCACATGGTGCCTCCTGTTCAGAAGGAACCTACAGGACTGGGAGATTAGTGACCTACTAACTATGTTCAACTCTTTAGAAGGCCACATCAGTGATGTTCAGCAGCCAGACAAACTAAGATGGAAACACTCTAAGGGGGGCAAATACACAGTTCAAGATGGTTACAAACACTTTTGTTCCCAGAATGGTATGATAGATAACTAGCCTTGGAAACATATCTGGAGAACTAAGGCGCTTGCCAAGGTGAATTGCTTCACCTGGATAGCTCTAAAGGGGGTATGTCTCACTCAAGACAACTTAAGCAAGAGTAACATTACACTTTTTAATAGATGTTACATGTGTCAACAAAATTCAGAAAGTGTCAATCATCTTTTCCTCCATTGCGCAGTTGCAAGTGAAATCTGGAATCTCTTCGCCTCTATTTTTGGTCTGAAATGGGTTATGCCTCAGACAATAAAGCAAGCATATGAAAGTTGATGTTTTTGGAGAGTTAACAAAACCATCAAGAGGATCTGGAGAATGTTTCCAGCAGTAATTTTTTGGTGTATCTGGACAAAAAGAAATCAGGTGTTTTGATGGCATCTCAACTCCAACCTACTCCCTCAAGACTATTTGCTTAGTTAATCTATTTAGCTGGATTTATCTTTCCCCTGTAGCTAGTGCAGACCACCTTGTAGATTTAATTAGCTCCCTGTTCTTAGCATGGATTTTTGTATTGGAGCTAGTTATCTACCTTTCTGTACCTTTTGCATCTTCTTGATGCCTATTAATGAATCACCCTTACTTCATAAAAAAAAATAGTGCACCAACTTTAGTTAAATTACAAATATTGCACCCTAACACTTTAATCTTATCTTTTACTTATCATGTTCCCAGGTTTATGTGCCTGGTGTTTTGGCATGCAGTGCTCATGTCGAAAGAGGTGATGCAGTTGCAGTTTCAGTTGCTTTGGAACAGTCTGCTCCGGATGGTGGATGGGGTGTTGCAATGACACGTGGCACTGTTCTACAAGGATCACAAACAGGTAATCTAACTTCTTTTTTTGCACCTTTTCACATTAAATCAAGCGTTTTCTCTGATGTTCTACACTGAATACCCCAATGGAATTAGTGTGTTTTCTCTATGGAAAGCTTGCTGAGAAACTTAGTATTTCTTTGACATAAACTTGACATGTGTGTTTAACTGCAAAATACATTTTGGTCTTGCTTCTGGCTTTTCCCCATTTCACTTTTGCCCAAATATGACTGGGCATCAGTAAGTTTCTGATTTTATATGGCTAACACCTGCCTCAACTAATAGTTAGAGCTGGGGTTAAGCCAGTTGGTTTCAATGCAGAAAAGGTTTCATTTATCGGGGTGATGGCATGTGATTAATATACATAATCCAGATATTTATTTCTCTATAAACGAGAAATTCCGTAATGTGATGGTCAATGTGACTCCTTTTTTGGTGAATTTCTTGCAAAACGAAAATCTAGTTATGCAGTAAGTTTGAACCACAACAGCAACAAACCCAGTGTAATTTGAACCATTGGCTTCATTTCACCCTGATGTACTACTCATCCTCCTTATCACATGGGTATGGTGGGATATCCTGCATTCTTCTGGTTAAACACCAAGATGCTTTTTCATCTAATCTGATTTTTGGATACAAGTTTGCTATGGTCTTTTTCTTTATTACTTATTAAGAAAAAGGTGTGCGGTGGTCATTCTTAAATATATACTAAATCTGCTTGATTTGCCGAAGTGTTGTTTCTCTGTCTCACACACACAATCAACTTTTGCATTATATAAATCTATTGTATCTTTATATTATTGCTAAGTTGTATGACATCCTTCCAGCCAATAGAGTGACCAATCTCAGTGTTGTTTAGATCCTTATTATTTTGAAAGAGATGGCTTCTACATTGGCCAAGGAACAGCAATGATGTCAAGAGCTGGGTTATTTCGTGTATCTGAAGGAGTTGCGGTGGATATGAAGGAAAGAGTATTTAGACTGCCCTCCTTTTATGGTATAAATTTCTCGCCTTTTCCAGTATTATGGAAATCATTTACAGGATATTATGTGTATATATTTTTATGGAAAACTTTTTGTCATCCCACTTGATGATGAGAATCTGCTTCAACTTAATAAGTGTTTTTACCATCTAGTTCTTAAAAATATTTGCAGTGGAGCATTTTTAAAGTTGCTACTTAATTCTAGTCTGACAATGATGTCTCTGCCTTAATCTTTGGGGTAACTGTATTAGTTTTGTTTGCCGTTTCTCATCCAAGTTGAGAATTACTGCGGCACGTTTACACTATTGGCTGGTATTTTAAGTCTGCCATGGTTCTGAATGAGCAAATTTAACACACTCAAGTTCACAATGGCGGACGTGATGTAAGATGTCTGTGAGATCTGAAGTGTAGTATACTAGTATGGCTTTTGTTTGTTCGTTTGGTGCATAGAATCTAAGAGTATTGAAAGTTGTTGATGCATGTGATGACTAATTAGATCTCATCCTTTTATCAAGAAGTGTGAAAAAGACAATATTTCGTGTGATTTGCTAATTTTGCTTTAGGAAGCTTTAGTTTTTCGCCTTTCCAAAATTGTAGTGTTCAGAATGTCGAGAAATTTGCTGGCGTTTTGGAAGAGGAATTAAGACCAATTTTGTGGTTAGGCCGAGGATTGATTTTACATGAATGATATTTTGCCATTAGAGACCCTTCAAAGCTCTCTCTAAATATGTCTGCCATGATTGTCAGTTGCCTATTCATTTTCCTGAAAATGGACAAGGGAGAATAGGTCCCATTGGTGGTCGAAAAGTAGTGTGCATAATAATTTCTGGTCACTTTCGCTGGAGAGTAGAAAGTTTCCATTGCTAGATGGAGAAGTTAAAGGCTTTGGTCACTGTAAGAAGATAAGGCTATTTAGAGGGATGCCATATTTGCAAATTTTCAGCACAATTGGTTAGAGTCTGACGCTATTGCAAAGTCACTATCTTCCTGCAGATAGAGCTTGGGTAGATGCTACTGTCGCTTCCATTTGGTGTAATGAAAATGTAATCCTTTAATAGTCTAGAGCTGTCAGAGGCGCAGAAGGATGGGAAAGTCCATTAACTTCAACTTTTGTTGTTATCAGTGTCCTCAGCAGTCCTTCCTCTGATCTTTAAAGCTATCTTTATTTATGACAAAGGAAATACTTTGTACACTTCTCATCTCTATGAGTGATTTTTCATTGTTGTCTATTGTTTCTTGACACCGTGATTTTGTGTGTGAAAGAAACAACGAACAGGAAACATTATACGCATGATTATACTCATGTTTTTGGATTGTCTATGAAAAGCAACTTCTTTTAGTAGTTCTGAATACAGTGTTTGATTATAATATCTTGCTTTCAGATTTGCTTGAGGGTGAGATTTTTCTTCAGAACCTGCCAAGCATAATAACTGCACACGCCTTAGGTATGTTCATAGTTTCTTAGACATTCTCTGTTTTGTGTAACGGTTCTGTATCATCATATTATATGCACGGTAGAGATTCTTACGGTAGCTCATGGATTTTGACCTTTTGTTTTTGTTCCTTCTTATATGCTGCAAGTTTTGAAACCCAAGGCTCAAAGAGTAAATCCTGAATCTCCAAGGGGTTGCATTTGCTCGAAATCTTGTTTAGATGCACTCTAAGTTTTGCTTCCGAATGTTTGTTATTTAGTTTTGTCTTTTGTGCCCAGCTAAAACTCTTCCAGCTTGTAGTGTGGTTTATATTACTGCATCCTCAATTTTCAATATCATCACGAAGTGACTCGTAGAATTCTTGAGCATTTACTTGAAGTATCACAATATACTTTCGTTAACACTTGTTGGTGAATGCACATTATGTCATGAAAATGATGATTAAGTTATTCTTTTTGCAAGATATCATATTCTATAGCCTATGATATCCTGCAAAAAGAATAACTATATAACCTACTTGGAGTGATAGTTCAGTGATGGGACGCATGAAGCAGAAGTGGAAGTAAAATTGATACACCAGTCATCCCCAAGAGAGATAGTTTTATATACCTTGGATCTATAATACAAGGCAACGGGGAGATTATCGAGGATGTTACACATCGTATTGGAGCGGGGTGGATGAAATGGAGGCTTGCATCTGGGATTTTGTGCCACCGAGACTTAAGGGCAAGTTATACAGAGTGGTGGTTAGGCCAACTATGTTGTACGGGGATGTGTGTTGGCCCGTCAAGAAGTCCCATGTCCAGAAGATGAAATTAGTTGAAATGAGGACGTTGAGATGGATGTGTGGATATATCAGGAAGGACAAAATAGGAACGAAGTGATTAGGGACATAGTGGGAATGGCCCCTGTGTAGAACAAGTTGCGGGAATCGAGGCTGACATGGTTCGGGCATGTGAAGAGGTTAGATATAGCTGTCCCGGTTAGGAGGTGTGAGAGGTTGACCATGGAGGGTCTGAGGAAGGGTAGGGGTAGGCCTAAAAAGTAATAGGGTAAGGTGGTTAGGCAGCACATGTCACTACTTCAGCTTACCGAGGACATAACCCTTGATAAGAAGGTGTGGAGCACAAGTATTAGGGTTGAAGGTTGACAGATAGTCGCGAGTCTCTCCTAGGCTTACCAGTAATACTAGTTCTATTGTTGTATTTTCTTATTCCTAGTTCGTTATTAGCACATGTTGTGTCATTTGCTTCCGTTACCTTGTTGTTGCAATTGTTTGTTGCTTTAGTTTCACTATTCCTTGAGCCGAGGGTCTACCGGAAACAACCTCTCTATCTTCATAAGGTAGGGGTAAGGTCTGTGTACACATTACCCTCCCTAGGCTCTACTTGTGGGATTACACTGGGTTTGTTGTTGTTGCTGTTGTCTTAATCTATAGCCTAATATATTTTACCTTTTGGAAAATGGAACACTGGTTTTGTGCTAAGTTACCTTGCTCTATGTCATCTATTTGTAACAACTTGAGATTGTATTCCTCTTTCTTTCTATGAAAGAAGTTTCTTCTTCTCTCTCTTTCCTTTTGACATTCTAATACAACTTATCACGTATGTTCTGCAAAAGTAGCTTGGTTAAGTGTTTTTCTCAACCCAAATGACACGTTTCTTCTTCCCACAACCAATTGTCCTAGATCCTCAACCAGGAGAGAGAGTATTGGACCTGTGTGCAGCTCCAGGGGGCAAAACCACAGCAATAGCAATCCTTATGAAGGACAAAGGGGAGGTTGTTGCTGTTGACAGATCTCATAATAAGGTGCACCTTTTGAACTTGGCAGGTGATTATAAGCGTATTATTTTTCTATAATATTTGCAAATATTTTAACTTAATAGTATTTTGGATTCCTTGATTCTAACCAAAAAGATTTGATAGTATTTTGGATTCCTTGATTCTAACCAAAAAGATTTGACATGGAAGGTTGTCACCTGGGTTAAAGGTGTCCTTAAATTGCTGGAACTTGCACCATTGCAGTCAGATCAATATATTGATTTTAAGTATTTGCTCAAATGCTGTAGCATTTTATGTCGAGTAATAGAAAGAATGACATGTAAGGTGACATATCTTACTTGAAGAAAATTTATACAATGGTATATGCTTTATATAAGTGACACTTGTTCAGATGCTGCTTTTTTGACTTGGAGAAATCCAGGTATCACTGTCCTATGATTGGCAGTAGAAGAATTAGCCTTTTTGACTCTTATTGACAAACCTTCCAGCCTTGATAGGAAGGCCCACCTAGTGCTTTCTTTTGAGGTTAAAAGCGCATGCTCGTCATTTCATAATTGGTAAATAAACTACATGAGTTAATACATAAAACGATTCCTATGACTAAGAACAAACTGTGAATTTTTGCACTAGTCCAGTTCAAAAGTCAAACTTCTTTCCATTTTTTGGATTGTATAGAAGAGGGACAAATTTTGCTGGTCTAATTGTGTTATGATACAGGTGCTTGGAATTCAGAAATTGGCGGCTGAAATGGGTTTAAGTTGTATAACTACATATAAGCTTGACGCACTGAAGTCTGTTTGTGATGGAGCTGAATCTGATAATTTGCCTAACGCATGCTGTAGTGAGGATGTTCAAAACATGCAAAAATCAGATTTATTATCCACTGATATAGATGGATCTGATGAAAAGTTACTATCTCAAAAGAATTGTGAGTACTCTGAAAACTTTCAATTTGAGCATGCTATTTTTCTGGTTTGGGATGAGTTGTTAATGTGGTATTCTGTTTGTTGTATGAAAAGATGACTTTGGTCTCTTCTTTTAGCCTGTTCAAGAGGTTTTGGCATCTCTCCTACTGGTTTATTTTTTTGGGGTCTTGTGAAACAGTAACCCCCCACTATAGTGATTCCACTACATTGATGTGCGTTGACCTTGCCATTGCCTGCCTAGCGACGTGTAATTAAATTAAGTAGGCTGATGTCTGTATACAGTTTATTTAAGGAAATTATGATGGGTATGAATTGTTTACATGTGCCATTTACATGTGTGTGTAAATTCATCAGACTGGTTTGCTAGTCCTTTGAAGAGTGCTAGCTCATAATTCTCTTAATTCAAGAACATTTTCACAAGCTCATGATCTGTAAATTCAGTATAAAAATGTTTACTGAAAGTTCCAATTAACTAGAGTAACTAAAAGAATCTTTCAGTCAATGACTTGCAGCTGAAGGATGGTCAGTACACTAGCAAAGCTGAACTGCGGAAACGTATCAGGAAACTCAAAAATGGGCCAGGAAGAAATCACACTGCAGGTGGGAGGGTTGAAAAGTCTAAAGGTTTTTCTCCCAATAGCTTTGATCGTGTGCTCCTTGATGCTCCTTGCTCTGCATTAGGTTTAAGACCTCGTCTCTTTGCTGGAGAGGTAAGACAGCTGCTGAATTGTCTCATTTCCATAGTATTCTTGCTCGTTTTCCTATGATTAAAGTTTCTCTACCATTTTATTCTGTTGGAATTTGGATGAAATAGAATTTTCTGCTTATGTAGGAATGGTTATGAGATGCACGCGGATAATCAGATAAATGTGGACGGGTTGTTATTTTTTCTGTCTGTCTTGTTTTGGACTATTGTATGATGTATAGATAGCAAATGGCTTATGCTGTCCTCCTTTAACATAAAAGCTTAATAATTGAGAATGAGTGTTACTGTAGGATAAGATTATGAAAAGAAGTGGGATAGTAAAAAACTAAAAGATCTTGTGGAGATGAGGAAAGGAATAAAACTTGTTAATTATATTTTGTGTAGGCTCTCTTTTATTTTATATTAACATGATTTGGTTAAAGTACCCAAAGCAAATGATGCTTTCCATGAATTTTATTAAGGGGTGGATCACTATCTTTTAATTTCCCTCTTCCCTTTAGTAAAAGATGACTGACTCTTAAAGTAATAGCTGGTCAAACCGTTTATCTTCTTGGGATGGTGACATCATGTCAAGCAATTCAGTTATGAAAGTGGATCACTATCTTTTAATTTCCCTCTTCCCTTTAGTAAAAGATGACTGACTCTTAAAGTAATAGCTGGTCAAACCGTTTATCTTCTTGGGATGGTGACATCATGTCAAGCAATTCAGTTATGAAAGTGAATCAGTGGTACCTTCTTGAGGTAAAAATTAATTAATCCAATGACATGCAGATATTCTTAGACATCCTATTTTCCATTTAATGATGAGATTGAAAATGTCTTTCTTGTCTGGAAGTATCCGATGGATTGAGATGGAGACGAGGCTCTGATCAACTACACGAATTTTAATCAGAGAAAGTTTATTCCTATTTCCTGCATATTTCAACACTACTCCTCAAAAGTTATCCCCTTTTCATAGTAAGTTTGAGAAGACATTTCTGTTGTTATATGGAGGACAACTGATTCATAAAATGTTTCTCTTGTTATATCCAGGAGACAATTGATTCGTTGAGGAGTCATGCCAAATATCAGAGACGAATGTTTGACCAGGCTGTACAGCTTGTTCGCCCAGGTGGAGTTATTGTCTATTCCACGTAAGTACAACCATGTATCTCCTTATCAAAAAGTACAAACATGGATTTAAACTTTTTTAATGAGACTTGAGACTAATTCCATTATTGAGATTATTACAGCGAATTTCATCACTGCTTTTGTTGAGTTAGAATTATCATTCCGTCCGTCCTTTTTCTACTTAACTGACCTTGATACCAACTCTACATCTCTTTATGTTAATCTGAATTTCTCACTTTTTGGATCATGACAAATCTCGAGCTCCCTGTCTGCAGTCTTTTCAACTTGTTCCTTTGTTCTCGTGACTGACTTAGTACTAGATCCTAATTCTTTTTCATGCTAGAGGCTGTGGTTTCAGAAAGTATTAGATGTGGCCTGACATTGATTTTGAAACAGTCCGCTAAAACATATATGCGTAACAAGGTTCTTAGTTTTCCTTTATCTTTAGGCATGGCTGTTTATACAAATCCATGAAGGGGTTTGTCACAAATAGCCGTTCCAGAATGTGGACTCATGTCCTAATGTGTAAATACACGAGTACAGACCAAATTTCAATGAGACATTAAGGTGGACTTATGTCTTAGTGTTGAATACATGAACACAGACCAGATTTCAGTGAGATATTGAAGTTTGGAAGACTTCATTTGACAAATTAATAATTAGGACAGCACAAGTTATATGATAAGAAATCAATTTCACAGATATCCAAATATTATGCACGAGTCTAACACAAATGTTCACAATGTGTTTTTGAATTATGAAGGTGATAGAGAGAACCTCTAGCTGTGTGAAAGTCATCCCATGGATTATTTAGCAGCTGCTAAATTCTCTGTGAATGCAATATGC